ACCAACTACCACCTTTCTTTTTTCCACTAGAATCATTATTGTTATTCCCTTCAGAACCAACTTCATCACCAATATAATAAACCACCATAATCAACAACCTCACCATGTTATCAGTCCACTTCATTCTTTGCCAAGGACAAGTTTTATTACCATTCCTTTTTCCATCATCAGTACTATTGTTGTCAGCACTAACACCAGGAACAGGTTCATCATCATCACTAAAATTCAAGCTTTGATTTTTAGCCTTGTTATTACCAAATGGAAACACTTGCCTCAATGTTTGTTGTTGGTTATCAGCATTTTCTTGATGTGCAAATGAAACCATGGGGTGGTGGGGTGGGGGCTGGGGGTGAGGTAGAGGTTGTTGATGCAAGTGATGGTGAGTGTTCTGTTGAGGGATTTGATGATGCAATGACATTTCTAATCCTAACATACCAGGACCCCTATTTGAATATAAACTACCAGAATCCATCTAAATGATCAACAAATATTCAAAATCTTGAAAACCCCACAAGGCAAAAATCTTATAATAACCACAAAAAATCAAAACTTTCAAAACCCCACAAGGCAAAATCTTATGATAACCACAAAAAATCAAAACTTTCAAAACCCCACAAGGCAAAATCTTATGATAACCACAAAAAATCAAAACTTTCAAAACCCCACAAGGCAAAATCTTATGATAACCACAAAAAATCAAAACTTTCAAAACCCCACAAGGCAAAATCTTATGATAACCACAAAAAATCAAAACTTTCAAAACCCCACAAGGCAAAATCTTATGATAACCACAAAAAATCAAAACTTTCAAAACCCCACAAGGCAAAATCTTATGATAACCACAAAAAATCAAAACTTTCAAAACCCCACAAGGCAAAATGTTATGATAAGCAAAAAATTATCACTTTCACAGGAACATTCATAATCCTATGAGCACAAAATGGTACCAAAAACCAGAGGAAAAATTAGCCTAAACAACAGAAAACAAAACAACTTAAGATTCTAAAGAGAGAGTTAAGTAAACATCACCAGACTACCAAGACTTCATTTTTCACTGCATAAAGTTTCAATCTTTGTAAAAAAAAAAGCAGCTAAAACTTCAAGAACAGCAAACAAGACTTGTTTTTTATGCTTTGGGAGCAATTTTGTGAGTGGGGCTGTTTGTTTTTTTGAGAAGTGAAAATGAGAGAGAATAGGAAAGTTTATACAAGAATTGAGCAGCTGGTTTTTTAAGCTGTGGGAGGATTCTTGGTTTTGTGACTATACAGATAAAAACTGCCCATGGTTTTTCACTTTTCAACAAATTTGTCAGCTAAAACTTTGGTTTTCCTTTTTTTAAAATAAAGTGAAAGAGTCCCACAGAATTTTGCAAACTATCACCTTTTTTTTTATTATCTTATTGTGGTTTTGCTATGTGTTCTGTTTATAGCCATTGGATGTGGATTGTGGAGTGATGTTAAGGGATTGTTTGGTAAGAGATGTTTGACCATGAAATTTTTATATATTTTTTAAAGTCGATCTTTGGAAACACATTTGATTATAAAATTTAGAATTTAACTTTAAGTTGGGTTTAGAATTTTCAAGAATTTAAAAAACAACAAAACTGCGTTTCACTTCAAATTACTCACAAAAAGTTTGAAATAACTATAATTTTCAAATATCATTTATTCACATTGAAAATAAAAACTATTTTTTTTTTCAAATTTTGTTATGAAACATGAACAAACACCCACGTAATACAAGCCAAAATGTTCTTTTATACAAGAATTTTCCTTATTTTACTAACCAAACAACCCCTAAGTGAAGAAGGGCAAAATTGTAAATTTAGAATCTTAAAAGAAGATTTTAGCCTTATTATCATAAAAGGAGATGTACAACTTGTAAGGCAAAAAGTACTAAAAAATCTAAGGTAGTGGTTTTATAGTGCCATCCATTTTATATAGGTGGTTTTCTTAGGTGGAGATTCTAAGGTCTTCCAAGGATCAACTTATGGGACCTACTACATAGAGATAATTTTTATTTTTTTATTTTTTTTGGTTGGGGGTGAGGGGGTGGGTGGACTTGGGCTAGTTTAGGTATCCAAGTCTGACTAGGCCCATTATTTTAAAATTTTAAAATCCAAGTTTGTTAGAGTTCTTTTGTTGAACTTATAATTGGGCCTAAAGATGATTGTGAATATTGAAACTTTTGAAATTTGTTTTGGAAAAATTACATAACTAGATGTATTTCACTACCATATATACATATTTACCTCTAGTTTAAAAAAATTACATATAATATTATTTTTTAATAGTTATACCATATATTTTAAAAAGATAATCAGATACACAAATCTCTTAAATATGGTATTGGATAATTATCTTAAAATTTAGCCTCCTTAATTAATGGAATATTAACAATTCAAATTTTATTATCTCTCACATCACACCAATTTTGCATGCCAACTGTATATCTCTCCCCCCCCCCCCACCTCTACTCCCTACGTTCTCCATATTCTCTCTTTCTGCATCCTCAATCTCTTATCCCAAGTTCATCACCCCATTCTCTTTCTTCATTCTCCCTCGTAGATCTTCTTTACTAAACCATCAAAAAATGAATTGAAAATGGAGCAGTACAATCTGATTGTTGAGTTATACAATCTTTCTTGGGTATTTATTTATACAAATGGTGATGGTGTTTCGTCGTCGAAAAAATAGGAATGAATATTACAACAAATACGGTTAATGGAAACAAGTTATTAGAATGGAGGGAAAAAAAAGTTGAAAGACAAGATCTAGAGCCTTATTAGCGTTGGATTCCAATTCTGAACTTGATGAATTTAAGATTGATGTGTAGAGATACAATGTTTGTTAGACGTATCTAAATGTTATATGTATATGCCCTTCATTTATGTATCTCCCTTTCTTCTATGTATATATTCTTATTCTATATATTTATTTATTTATTAAATGTATATGTATTTTCTATTAAATATACATGAGCTATTTTCTATCATGTATCTGAGCATGTTGTTTTATGTATCTGAGATCTTTATGTTATGATATAGTGTGTTTTCTTTAGTGTATGTGAGACGGTTCTGTCATGTATCTGGTCATACTTCAATGAGATCGTTGTAGATCACTCACACTTTTATGGAATTACGGCAATCACAAATTCAGTGTTGACGCAGTTAGCGATAATAAAGACCTACCAAAGCCAAAATGCACATTTATCGAATCAAATTCCATTGAAAAGATTAATATCTAATCATTAGGTACATACTTCATATACAAAACAAGTTTCAAATACATATTATGTATCAGATATACTTATATAACAGATACGCCTAATGAAATACATTTAATGAAATTAGGTACATGAATCATGTACATAGTACAAGATACACATTGGTTTCTAGACATGATTATTTTTTAAAAAATAAAAAATCTCAAAGCTCAAAGAAATAAATTCAAATTTCTGAGAAAAGTTGTTCACTTTGTTGTTGCTGGAAAAGAAATGGAAGAAATTAGTTTATTTTTTTAATTTTTCTTTTAGAAATTGTTAGAGTAATTATACTCAAAAGTTGTTAAAAGAGTGATTTTCTCCTTAAATTAAGCATTTGCGATGCAGTAAATCCGTTTAAATTGTAATTATCATTAATTACTCATTTAGTTAAGAAAATAAGCTACCCCCTTTAGTTCAAATTAATAAATCATGTATCTCAACTTTTAAAATTGACGGATAATGTATCTGACGAGGATTGATACATGTATTTAAAGGCCGAAATATGATATAGAAAGTAATATTCCAAACTATCGTGAATCATAATAATTATGACATAAACTAGTGAGATTTATGTAGTTTGTCCTGTTTATTTTCATAGGCTTTATATTTTGGTCGCCCCAATTAATTGACTCATCGTGTGTTTTATTTTGTTTACCCCATTAATCTTCAAAATAAGTAATAAATAACGTAATATTATATATTTATTTGTATATTTTATATTATCTACCATGAGATAAGTTTTAAAAGGAATATTAAATCTTGTCAGAGACGCAAGCAAAAAATAATTAATAGAAAAATACAAATACGCAAAATCTGTCTTATTTTAATTTACACAATAATAAATATATTTATATACATCATAATCTTTGGTTAATAGACAAAATAAAAGTAAATAGAAAATTATAAAATCCTAATTAGATAAGAATGAGTCCTAAGTGGATAACGGTTGTCGATTTTGCCACTCTTTCGATATGGAACTTTTTTTAAAAATAAAATACCTTTAACTAAATATGACGATAAAAAATATTAAAATTTAAAGGATCGACTAGTGAAATTTAATGAATGATTTATGAGGCTAAAAAATTTGCTACTATTTCTGTTTCAATTTACGTGACATTTTTTTTTTCGAGAGTCAAACAGTTTAAGTTTGACCGAAAATTTGCGCGTGAAATTCTCATTTTTTAAAAAATGAAATTTATATATTTGTAACTACGTAAAAAGTACTATAAGTCACAATAATTGATAATTCAAAATAATTAAAAGATCTATAAAAAAATTACGATCAATGATAAACTTATTTAAATTTTAAAATCCGAAAAACGTCACATACATTGAGACAAGAGTATAATTTATCATACTAGTATTGAGATATTTTAAAATTCAGATAAAACATCATATGTCTATTGTCATGTCTAGTGATCAAAACATAAGTAGTACTAGATTTTCTTTTAATTTGGGTCATTTAGCATAATCTTGACAATAGTCTTTATCATGAGAAAATAACAAATAAAATCGTACACAAACATCTATTAAGTTTTTATTTACTCCATGCATGCATATGGAAACAAATTAAAATGCACGTCTCCTCAACTTTAAGTTCTTATCCTTAATTAATTAGACGTTAGGTGTATTACGTGTGAAATTATACTGATATATTATTATTATTGAATTAGATATTATCAGACTAAATTAACGTATCATAACATAATATAATATACATATATTATCCATTGGGTTTAATCAAAGTATTACATTTCATGTATGGCAGCATAACAAAATTTAAAGTATCTTTATAAAAAGAACTTATATTGATAGGGAAATAACATATTGTATCATCATTTCATTATAACTTATCATGCATATCTAACTAAATGACTTGTTCTTTAGTGGACCACTATTTGAAGCATAGTTTTTTTATTTTAATCGTCTTTTCACATTGATTCATTAGAAGTCTTCAATTTGAGTCCAAATATTAAAATTGAAGCGAATAAATTATTGTTTTCCTCACTATCAAACAAAGAGTAGGCAATATATATGGGATGATATATTGGGCGGGTATTCGAAAGAACTTAATAATTTAATCGAAATCACGTCTAAGCTAAAATTCAAAATTTATATACTTATTATGAATTTGTGCGCCTCTAAAATATGACTTAGGACTACCACAAGTTATATTGTGGGAATTGTATTAATATCCTTCATTGTTCTTATAGATATCGAATTAGAGGAATAGAAATAAAATGTTTTTAGTAAAAAATATATATTTTAATAAAAAAATAAAATAACCCAATATAATTTTGGATCAATCAAATCTCAAAATAGTTATCAAATAAAAACAAGAGAGTAGATATATATTCTTACCAAGAAATTATATATTCCTCTTTTCAAATCTCACATTATTTCAAATTGGATAATCATAATATCTAGGGATAAGGGTCTAAAAAATATCCCAACTTTGATCGAATTTGTTGTTGCGATACTAAACTTTCATGAGGACCTATTACCTCCCTAGACTATTTAATACCGTATTTTTTACCCC